AAGATGAATCTTTGAACATAGCTATGAGTTGGATATGTTGATTTCTTGATTTTAAATTAATTTGACTCATAGATTATGAATTATAAATTTGAAATTTACATACATGTCCATTGATTGACATTGAGATGGCATGTACCAAATTGTGCCCTAAATGCTTGTATATATTTTTTAATTAGGTATATTGCTTATATATTTTGCATATGCTTGTATGATTTTGATTGAAATATATGATTGAATACTTGCATATGTTTGAGTTAAGTACATTACTATGCATTGAAATAATTTGAATTATATTTGAATGATTATGCTTTCATTACTTCTTTGCTATAGCATATGTGCTCATCATGTTTGAAAAATCATGTTTATATAATCTTTGTTAGTACATGATGATTGAACCTCATTGCTCATTAGTACTTATGATTTATTATATACATATGAGCTTTTGGTTCTTGTTTGGATAGGATAGCTTATGAAATATTACTATTATCATTTATGCATGTATTGAATGAATCTTTCATATACTTGAAGTATGTGTGCTCTATGAAAGTTGTTAAATAAAATTGCTAAAAATTGGTAACAATTGGTATCAAAATTGCTAAAGAATTTTTTTTTTAAACTTTCATAGACACTTGTTTATGTGCCTATCATTGATATAGCTTATACCTTTCATGCAAAATTGTGTGTGCCTTATATTAATTATTCCTTAATTTGGAAAGGAGGAAAAATCTTAGAATACAATTTTGCTTGATTTGTTTTGTGATAACAATTGGTATACTTTATCATAACATATCTTTAACAATTGTTTATGAGCTTGTATGCATGTGCTTGAATTTATGCATACTTGCTATTGATCTTTTAGGTTCTAATCACATCTTATGATAACATGATTTATGAGTAGATTGCATATCATTCATTATTCTTTGCTCATAAATTTCGTGTAGTAAATTTGATGACTTGTGCTAAAATACTAAAATTGGATACACTTATACTTTTGTGCTTGAATACATGTATGTGAATTTTATTGTGCATATTACACTTGATTACATGCATTCAAAATATTCTTGATATTATTGGTATCAAGCATTTTATCTCATAGCTTGAATTGATCTCTCTTTCTTTTGAAATAACAAAAAAGGGAGAGAGTTTAGAGATATTTCTTCTTATTGCAATTGATATAGGAGCTTAAACATTTGATATAAAGAGCATAAACAAAAAGAAAGAGAAATGTTTTATGAATATATTTGTTAATGATGTCTCTTTATGTTTATTTATTCATTAATATGCTTATGTCTTTTTGCTATGATAAAAAAGGAGAGAAATATCATATGGACAATTTTGCTTGTGCTTGACATGCATATGTTTGATTGTGCTTATTTAATAAATATGCTCTAACATATGTTTGATGAGTTGTGTTGGATTATGATGCATAAATTAAGGGAGAGTTTTGCAGTGCATTTTTTAAGGGAGAGTTTTTCAAAATGTCTTTCAAAATCTTAAATGTTTTAAAGAAAGTTTTTCATCAAGTAAATTTATCTTTAAGTTTTGTCATATCAAAAAGGGAGAGATTGTTAGCCTTGAATTGATCTTTATTTTGAAATAACAAAACATTAAGCTAAATAAACTTGATCAAGATTTTGAAAAAGATTTATTTAGTACATGTTTTTAAGTTTTATATTTTTGTACTAAATAAATAATATGATTTTCAAAGCTTAAACAAACCTTTCTTTGTTTTCATATTTCTCAAACAAAATCTACCTTTAAAGATTATTTATTTGAGCTTAAATGAAAGTTCAATTATTGTTTTTAAAGTGAACTTATTCATTTTGAACTTAATACAATTTTGACAAAATTGGTTTTGAGAAATAGATTAACTTAAGAAAGTTGTTTTACAATAATAAAGTTTTCCAACATTGAACTTATTTTATTTTTCTATATTAATTCACAAAGTTTTAATACTTAAATTTTATATGATTGGAAAGCTCTTTGAGTCTACTTTTCTAATGGATCAAACAAAATCAAAATCCAAATTTTTTAAGAAAAGATTTTGAATTTTTACTAGACACTCTGTAGTTGTCAGAAAAACTGCATAAGGGGTAACTTTGAAAATTCACTATAATTTGTACTCAATGAATTAGGTGATGAATTTTATATGGATAAAAAGCCCTTTAAGTCTAGTTTCTAAATCTTCAAACGGTTTGTGATTTGAATTTATATAACTCAAGATATGATCAAATTAGTGAGTAGAGTGTAAAATAGGAGATAACCATCTAGTCACTGACAGGATCGATCCCTTCATGGAAAAGATCTATCGGGTAATGATTTTCAAAGGCAAATTGGTTCAAAACATGAACCAATCGATCCCCTCATGGAAGGGTTCGATCGGGTCTGGGCAAATACATCTCCAACGGCTATTTTATCAACCATTCAACGGCTACTTTCATTTCCTAAGCATTCCCAACAGCTATTTCTTCAATTTCTCTATAAATTAGGCATTTCAACACACCAAGAAGATTGATGAAGCAAGAGAGCAAGTGCTAACAAGTTATATTTTTATTTTCTCTTAGAATCAAGAGTTTTTAGAGCTTAAATTCAATATCCTTTGTATTTCTTGTATCCAAAATATTGTTGTGTTTCATTTATCATTTTTTTGTACTTCATTAGGCAAACACTCAACCTTGAAAGGTATTTTAGTTTGCAAAATTTTATTTTGGTTATCTTATAAGCAAGATGTGAGGTATCCTCTTGATATTGTAAGGGTAGAGGTTGCTATCTAGGCCTTGAGAAAAAAGATAAAGATTTAGTACAAGATAGGTTTATATCTTGTAAGAGTTTTTCTTCAATAGTGGATTGAAGCCTTGGTGTGGACAACCAAGAAGAGATGACGGTAGATGCATTGTGGGAGAAGGATCGAACCTCTATACGTCATTGTGTTTGATTTCTTTATCTTTATCTCCTTACAATTCATTGTTGTTTATATTTGATTTTAGGTTCATTAATTATTATTGTTTACATTATATTTTCATCAAAAGTGCTTATTGTTTTAATTTTTATTCAATTATATTGAAATCATTTGTTTGGAAAGAATTTGGAGAGATCCAATTCACCTCTTCTTGGATCACTATCTCACCTAAAAAGCTAACACCATTTGTCCTCCTTGCACCTGTATTATCATGTTTCTATTGTGTTGTAACCAACAATGCATAGTTAGATAATTTTAAAGCTTTTGATTTAATTATTTTCCCCTTTTTCTTAGGTATAATACTTTAAAATTAAACATGATTAACAAAGGATTTATAATTATGAAATATAATTTGTAATTTATATAGATTAGAGTTTTACATTAACATTTGTTTAGTGCTTTAAAATTAAACATGTTTAACAAAGATAATATAGATTAGAGTTTTACATTAACATTTGTTTAACTTATTGATTTTTTTTTTTTGAGATTATATGTTAGCATGAAATGATTAATGCAAATAATTTTTTTTTTTGGTTCTTCAAACTTTATTAAGCATTATCATTTTAAATTTAAATTTAGACATTAATTATTTATTATTTTTATTATCATTTATGTATATCAGTGGTATTTATGAAAATTTTATAAGACTACTTTGTTACTTTTATAATTTTTAGGATGCTCCTGTAATTATAATGATTTGTGTGATCATGCTGTTTTGTGTGGGTCATTGCTTTTTCTTTTTCTTTTTTTTTTTATTTCATTTGTTATTAAGCTCATTTGTTAAATTTTTAAATAACTTAGCTCACATTTTTTAGTAATGTGAAAATGTTGGTTCAAGTAATTTGCTTTTTTCAAGTAACTTTTAGCTCAATAAGAAATCTATACTTGTTTTTTCAAGTAATTAAGCTCTTTCATTAAACTTTAAGGCTCAAAATCACTGCATTTGAGAAGTTGTCACTTTTCACATAACAATTAATAAACAACATAATTGCGTGAATATTCTGCTAGTTTTCTTTAATTTTTCGAATTTAATCACAGAATCCAAGTCTCATTCTACCTCTTTTGTTTTAATTGGTATCCAACTCTTACGAATGCTAACAAAATTGAGTTACCACGAGGAGACTCGAAACTTTATTGTTTTTAAATTTAACAATTGACAAAGTCTTTTTTTTTTTCTTTTTGCAAGAGACAAACGCCCTTTATATTCACAAACAAACTCTAATTAAAAACCAAATGTGACAGCTTTAAACTTGAAAAGAGACAAAAGTAGCTCCCGAATTAGATTCTGAAGAAAGGGCTGCCAATCAGACCCGACAGGTCACGAATTCAACAATATAATAAGGCAAAAGAAAATTATAGCAACGATTCAAAATCTAATCCTCTTAGCAACATTTATCTATTTCAACGCTCCATTAATGAGGCCCTCTTCATTTGCTACTTTACATTTAAGAAAAGAACAATTATCACAGTGCCATGTTTAATATTATTTGTTAAATTATATTTTATCTTTCTGGTTTTTTCGTTGTCGTCATGAAATTTGAGTTCCGTTAAATTATATGTAACTTGGTGACAAGAATATTGCTATTTGAATGAATTGGAAGTTTTGGTTTTGGATTCCTAATAATTGTCAAAAAGAAAAGAAAAAGATAAATAGAAATTCTCTATGTATGATACTAGCGGTCTTTTATCATCAAATATTATGATATTTGGTATCAAGCAAAAAAAAAAAAAATGAAAATATACGGATACGCTCATATTTTTGTTGGAATCAGAAAAAAAGTACATGTACAAATTATTTACATTTTCCCTTCTAGAAACAAATTAATTGAATTATTTATTTCTCTAAAATGATTGAACTTTTACAAAAATTAGCTTGACTAACCCAAAACCCCATCTTATTTCAAACACAAAATAATTTCAATTCAAAATGACTAAAATTCATAATGATTTCAATTTAAACAAACTTAAACTTGAAATGATCCAAAATCGCCACCGCCGTATTCAAAATGCAAAATTTTAAAAAGTGATTCCAAGAGAAAAAAATGGAAAACCCGAAGACCAACTCATAAATATTTAATTGGAAGGAAAACACAACATTGAGGAAAATGAACAGCTTGTCTTTCATTTTCTATCCATCTTACAGAATAAATTATGCAAAGACAAACCCACTTCTAATGCACCAATAGAAGCTCAACATTGCTCTATTTTCAGGTTTTTCACCATAATAACATAACCCAAATATCTGAAGTCCCGTGTTTGGAAATGAGTATATATATTACATTCGATCAAAAATATTAGTTAATTCATTAACCAAAAGGCACAAATTGATGTGCAACATATTGGGTTAGAATGTAACACGAGGTTGGAATGCTATTCACCAAGCAGGTATAAACTGAAATTGAAAAAACTGTGCAGCAGCAAGAAGAGTAACAACCCAATTAGCCTTCATTCTTCGATTCTCAGTTTTACGTCAATGAAGTAGAATCAGCTAGCAGTTAAATGGCTCTTGGTATGAAATGTACAAGGTGCAGCAGGACTTACAAGACAATATGCACCATCAAAGTAGTTGTTGATGCGTGAAGAGGGAGTAAGTGCCACAGCTTGCTTTCCAGGGCAACATAAGAATTTAATCCATAAAGGCACAGAATAAGCTAGTGCATGCATTCATTCAAATGCATTGATTTCGGTCATGATACTTCTTGAAGTGCAAGATTCAATTCCTGGGCAGATTTTGCAACTGATCCCCCTCTTCTATGGAGAAAAATGGAAACAAAAAGAAATAACTAAACAAAAAAATCTCTGGAATATGTCATACGGTATAGAACAGCTGCATGTGATTAAACCCTACAGCATTATACAGGTTCGAATAACCACCATACTCACTTGGTTAGCATGGGCAGACAGCGCTTTACTTTTTCAAGTTCTATGAAGCAGAGGTTGCAACGCTCAAACCTAGGACAGTCAGCACCATGAAATCTCAGTTAGTCCAATAACTCAATATTTGAACATTAGATTTGCAGTTATGAAGCAAACAGACACACCTTTGCTCTGCCTCAATGTCTACACCAACAGATGTCGAAGCTGATAATGTTGAGTATATCATCGAACCAAATACTCTCACCAGCTTAAGGAGCATGTCCAGACAGATGCTCAAATGCCTACATATGAGTCGCAGTCATATACTGAAACTCTATTTGTAGATAGAATAACACCCAACAGATCCTTAGAAAAGAAATACTAAATTACTATCATTTTAACCACCTTATGCCACAGAGAACTACTGAAAGCAATTGATGTTTCAAGAACAAATAGTGAACAAAAATCCCAGGCATAGTGACTACAAAATGCATAAAAAATGCAAGATTACTACACTGTTCTTACCTATCCATGTCACTTCCAAGGAGACCAGACAGAAGTGGCAGAAGACAAGTGCAAATGTCCAATGTGACAATGTCCATTTTCTCAGTGACAATGCTCATCACATCAGCAAGCACCTGCAATTTCCATCATAAAAAGAAAACTGTTGGAAGTGACTCTTCAATATGTTTGATTTACACAAAAATTCAAATAGGGATGGATGTATTAACAAACATAAAGTAATTACAGCATGATCAGCCATCTTTTCCATCACACTGATTGCCCCTTTTACGTCATTCCTTTCCCAGTATCGATGAACAACCTATAACCAATAGTAACCAATGTTCAGCAATCTTCCATGAAACTTCAACATTGTAGACATCTTACTATTAAGTGAACAACAGAAGCATCCAAAAAATCCATCAGCAAGACTTCTAGTTTGTTTAGAATCACCTGTAACTTGGCTAAACGAGACTGCATGGAACTAACAAATTGGTCATGCTGCTCCATTACATCAACAACAACATCCTCATCACTGGCAGAAGGCGTTTCTTTTTCCACAGAGGGTCGGTATCCTCTTTGTTTATACTTTAAAAAATAACATGAATGAACAAATTAGCACTGACAGGGATTTTGAAAACATATTAAAAAAGGGAAAGAAAGTGAATACGTGCTTAGATCTGTTTTTACCGCATTGAAGGAAAGCATGTTTGCCAGAGATGCAATCCCTGGAGAGATACTCAAAGTAGGTCCATCATAATTGGAAGATCTCCCTCTTTTCTCCCAATTTATGACTACTGAATGTGTTCTTCCTGAAAAATTGACCAAGTACAATGAGTTAAGACTCTATAGAATTGTGAATAATATCAGCCAGCTATCAAGAGATATACCTCCTTTTTTGCTTTCTAAAGGATATGCATCTTTTTGTGTTTTTTGCACTTGTGCATCATCTGAAACAAATAATTAAAGCTCAGACTTCAACACAAATAGTTGAACATTCCAACTTAAGAAATGCATAACAGCCTGCTCAAGCTAGACTCCATTTGAAAACCAAACAAATCAAGAATGCATGTAATGTGACCACACAAGCCTACAAATTAGCCAATAGCCAAGACAAGCTAAACAAAGCTTAAACGATAGCCCTTGAGCTAGACCTAGTTAGATCTATTCCATCTACTTAAGGAGCATAAAGCAGAAACTTGAGCTCAAGTCACTCATTCCTTTTGCTTTTTATCCTCCATCAATTAGGATGGCCAGTATCTAAGACAAATAATAATAATAATGCAGAACAATGCTATATAGTAACATTCCTCAAGGGCCAATATGCTATTCCAAGGATATAACAACCTGAAGAGAGATAAAGAAGCTAATAAGACTACCTCCTTACCACTGCACCTTACCAGCCTTAAAAAGCAATGGGAATATAGTCAACTTAGAATTACTCGTAGAAATACAATTCTTTAGTTAACATGGTTCCAATGTGTGTATGTGCGTGTGTGTTTGTGTTGTGAAAGAGAGATCCATCTTAGAAGGTAAATTCTTTACTAAAAAGGTTCTGACAGTACTTCTGAACTTAACCTAATGGTTACTTTATGTATTTGAATTAAAATACCAAACAGACTTCTATGTTTTCCTATGCTCCTTCAATGAAAGCTCATTGCTCCCAAACATTACATTTTCTTTATGCAACCAAAAGTATAGAAGTTATTATTTAAATTTATAAAGGTACCCTTTATCGTTCTCTCAAGCTCACTCTTTCAGTTGTTCCTGTTAAGTCTCAAGAAAACTCCTGGTTGCTATCAAACACAGTCCTTTGCTAAAAGCATTTCAATAGAAAGATTTTCAGTCATAATCTATTTCACAGGCTAATGATGAAAGTGTAGAGGTAGACACAAACAACACTTTAAAGCAAATTTAAAAATTTTGGAAGAACAAGCACCTAGATATGAAAGTTACAATCAAAGGCAGAGCTGTGAATTAAGAGTTTTAAAAACATACTATTTTCATCCCAACAGTTTGAAGGCAACTCCACCACTGAGTTTGGTTCACTCTTGCCAGAGCCAATGCCTCTATCTTCCCTCATATTCCTTTCAGCAGCAGAAATTCCTTGAATTGGGCCTTTAAGAGCAGGAAAAATATTTCTGTCCAGAGCACTACAGAATTCGGCAGCCTTAGAACCTGTAGTTTCAGACGGGGCAAAGATAGCTGGCTGGTCCATGTCTTCCCTGCTATTTTGAAACTTCCGAAAACTAGAAGTCTTTGACTGTAAAGAAAATGGCATTGTTCTTCCAACGATACCAAGTTCCTTTCTGGAATCAGCTCCCTGCTCCAAAGTTCTCCCAACTATTCCAACTTCTTTTCTAGATTCAGCAGCTGGCTGGCTCGGCTCCAAACTTCTCCCAGCTATTCCAACTTCTCTTCTAGGTTCAGCTGCCTGCTCCAAACTTCTCCCAGATATTCCGACTTCTTTTCTTGATTCAACAGCCTGCTCCAACCTAGTATCATTTCTAGGCACAATCACAGGTATGACATCTGACTTGTTAAAAATTGGAACATTGACAGCTGAACTAGCCCTTGTAGAACTCCTCTTTGAAGCTGCTACACTAGGAAATGTTACTGAACTTGGTTGAGTTGTCTTTGGAGCAGTATTTAAATTTACCCTCTGAGGGGTTCCAGGTACATTTCCTGTGGCTTTAACCATTATGTAGATACCATAATAAGATAGATAAATAGATAAAAGTTGCAGGCCTCCTGCCCACCTCCCCACTGGTACTTCCAGATATTTCATAACTTTTTGAAGAACTAAGTTTACTATTTGGCTGAGTGTTTATATTATTGCTAATTATCAATTAATCATTTTCAGAAATTTTTTTCTTTTACTTTTTAAACAAATTGACCTATTACTACTGCCACCTTATAAAAAGTAATAAAATGTTAATCATTTAACAAAAAAAGCTCGAGGACACAAAATAAGAAGTAGAAGAGAAAATTTGAGCATTTCTTCCATACAAGTTTTATGCATCAATCCAGTTTTTCCCTTTTTTGTTTTATTGGTCAAAAATATTCATGAAGTTAAGTTTAGAGTGATGGATTTGAATTACCCTTTGAAACTAATATTAGGTTTTTTTCCTTTTGAATGGATAAACTTGATAAATGAAAACTAATTCAGGACAAATAGTATATTCAATGATACAGTTTGCAAAGAAATTTATGAGAATCAAGAAACAGAAAGTAAAGTGAAAATTCAAAACCCCAAAATAAAATTAAAATAAAATGGAACATACATGCCAAAATTTTGGACTCCTTAGCAGGATCTGAGTTTTGTGAAACAGACAACCTTCTAAGGGATTTTGTTTCCTTCACTAAAGTATCAGGATTTTGTGAAATAGATAACCTTCCCATACTAGCTTTTGTCGTGTTCTCATTCAGTACAGAGAGGTTTCTATCAGAACTAGATTTACGTTCAGAATGAACTTTAACACGATTAGCATTGTCAACAGCATACGGCTCTATACGCTGTAACAAAGACCAAAATTTAATATTAAAATCTTAACACAATAATTGCCAATAAAGAAAGATGAACTGATTAAATAGGTTGATGTGTAGAAAACTGGGCAATACCGAGATGTCTACAACCCATACTCCAACACAGCTTTGATTATATGAGCAGCCAAGAAGCTTTCCTTCATGAACATTAAGATCTGACAATCTAGACCACCCCACATCCACACCATCATGACATCTTATTGGTTCCCATGAGAAAACCTAGAAGTTGCAAAGAAAAATGAAGTGCAAACTGGAATAGCACAGAGCACTCCCTAGTAAATCATTTAGATTGATGAAAGTTGAATCTATAAAAGATCTCACCTTCAGACTTTCATGCAATCCACAGAGTACAGTCCTCCCATCAGGATTGAAGGTTAAGCAACGGACTCCAGTAGTCTACAGTATATAGAAAAAATTCATTTATAAATTTCTCCGTAAAAACAAGAAAATAAACGATCCTAAGATATCAATATAGAAACATAGAAGATCTTATGATCTTAATATGAACCGCTAACTCTACTAAGAGAATCAACAATGGTACCAAAGACCAACAAAAGTACCTCCGGCCCAGCTGAACCAATAAGCTCAAAGGTTTCAAGGTCCCAAAATTTAACAGTCCGATCAGCTGAACCTGTGAAGGCAAAAGAATGTACAATCAAGATTAGAGGACACAAGAAAGATTTTACAACCTCCTCGGACAACATAACAGATCATAGTAAAAGAGTTTAATTTTAGGACAACATCATAGAATCAATTCTCAAGTCAATGAGCAATAAGCCACAGCTATATTAAAAGAAGGTAATAACCAACCTGTAGCCAGTAGAAACTCATGGGGATGGAAATCTAAGCACTGAATTTGGCCTTCATGATACTTGAAATCATGCAACAGTTTTCCAGCAGTCAAATCCCACACCTTTTGATACATAGAACAGGACAAAGATCATTGTAAAAGTTATCATGAAGCAACTTCAAAACTCAAAAGTAATATGTGTATGCATACTATCTATACATGTGCATTTAAATCTGTTTATAAGATAAAAACTTTTCATAAATAAAACTGACAGCAGGCAATCTATACACCAGTCTGACCATTATATGATTTAAAACAATGAAATAGCCTACAGATATCAAATCCTAATGTCAGGAAGCCTCAGAACTGCACCTATGAATCCATTCATTGCCATAAAAAGTCAAACAGGGCACCATTTGCGGACAGCCAAAGTTTTAAAGTTGGCTGACTCTGTGAATCAAAAGCAATGTCAAATGAAACAAGGTATTTTAGTTCATCCAACACCCTCAACTTTGCATAGCCTCACTCTGAACTCCAAATCTCAATTCCAATTCCCAGGAAAGAAGAGCATGGCCATGAACCAGACTACCACTAAAAGAAATGAAAGCCCTTCTACATTTATTCACCCTACCGTTCCAACACAGATCCCAAAAGAAAAAGGAAGACCAAAAATGATGTACAATCTAAGGATCACATTAGTAACATAATTAACATCATGAACTAAAGTATAGCAACTCTGACCTTCACAATGTTGTCCTCACCACCAGATACAACCCATCGGCCATCTGGTGTAAACCTGATTGCATTGACTCCTCGAGTATGGCCCTTGTAAGTGTGGATACACCCTTTCTTTCTGATATCCCATATCTTCAGATTTGTATCAAGGGAGCCAGATGCAAAGAACTCGCCAAAGGGGTGGAAGTCCACAGAGATGCAATTGGATCTATGACCAGTCAGAGTCCGAACAACTAGAAAAGTATCAGATTGCAACAAAAAAAATCAATTTAATACATATTTAAGACTGACATTTAACATACAACAACATGCATATTTTGAATAAAAAAATAGTCTATGGAATTGGAGAAGCATACTTTTTGCCTCCTCCAAATCCCAAAGCTTGATGCTACCACTTGCAGCACCTGCAGCTACCAAGACTTCTGAAGGATCAAAGCTCACTGAATCTATTCCACTTGTGTGTCCCGACAAACTCTGATATAATGGTTCAAATACAACATGTATGGAATAAGAAGAATTCATTTGTCTCCAAAATGATATCTTATCAACGATAGAATTGTTTAACCCTAATATTTGCTAAATCATTCATTCTTTTCCCCCTTAGTGGCTAGGGAGCACATAACAAATTGCAGCAAACCAATGACAGTGAAAATACTACTAGTATTATTATTACTGACAAATAAAAATATTGCAAAAAGGGTATTTGAAACGAATTTAATAATTTGCATTGGGCAATACTTAGAGAGAACTCACCAATATGGCGTTGGGTTTACCAATAGCCCAAAGATTAACCTTGTGATCTTCCCCTCCAGTCACAAGAACCCTCGACGATTTCCTTCCAATCTTTAGGCAATTCACACTTGAAGAATGTGCGACAAATTCCTCTGTTTATTACAGTTGTTAAGGCTACCCCAAGTAAAAACACTAAGAGAAAAAGGTAAAACAAGAAAAAGGACAGAAAGAGATCTATTTGAGGTGATGGGGGGCAATTGTTATGAAAAACCCAGATCAAGTATATCAATTGGAAACACAATTCAATAAAAACCCTAGAAAGAGGATACGTAGCTTGTAAGCGCGTTTGGTAGTCATGGTGGAAACGAAACAGAAGACAAAACCCTAGCAATGGATATAGCAAACATCAAATAAAAAATCTGCTGAACAGTGCCGTAGATCTCATCCTCATTACATTATTTTAACCATTTTCCACGACTGCAAAATCGACAAATTTCACTGTTAGATCGGAAACATTAAAAATCTATATAAAATTTATATAACAAGAAAGAAAGAAAGGAGTAGTAAACGACATTTTACCAGAAACCAAAGGCTTACAGAGAATACAACAGTGGGAGAGATTACATCATAATGTAATCTTTCTTTCTTGGGTTTCCTCTAAAATTTATATTTTTATTTTATATTCCAGAAAAAAAAAAAAGTAGAGAAGCAGTAGTCGTACAACGAAAGAGGTGCCAAAAAAAAAAAAAAGAAAAAGGAAAAGAAAGAAAGAAATGCAAGAGCAAGTAAGTAGAAGTGGGTTGGCCTTTTTTTTCGTTGTTGGTTTTTTTCAAACCCAGATTTCTGCAAATCTTTCTTAATAAAATAAAAAAACCAAAATCTTGAACATAAAAGCAAACTCTATCAAATAAGATTTTCCAGATATAAAACACAGAAAGAGAATAAAGAAGGAAGGAAGAGAAAGGCGCCGCTTTCACGTTTCACTGCTACTGCTGGTTTTCATTTTTTCCTTAAATTTTCTTTGCCTTTTTACTGTGATTAATAATCAAGAAGGGGAGGGAGAGAGGGAAATTAAAATGAAAAATAAAATTTAAACAAAAAAATAAGAATTGGTGGGATAAAAAGGGCCCAGCCCAATGGGGACAGATCCCTCCATCTGCAGCAACTCAAAATCGAAAAGACAAGGCAACCATACCCCACCCTCCTCACTTCCTTCTCATAAAAACTCTGCTGACCTTTTTCATTTTTTTCTTTTTTTTTAGTGAGATTTCGGTTTCATTCTCTCTACTTACAGTTTTAAAAAAAAATTCCTTACTTTTGATAATAAATGAATGTGGGAGCCACCAAAATTATGGCCTCTTCTCACTTCTCACTTTGATTTTCTTGCATTCATGTCCAGCATGTTATCCTCGTTGCATCCTTTACCAACCTCAAAATGGCTGTCAAAATCTTTAATTTATTATTATCCATTTCATTTTTTCCACCTCAAAATTTTATGTAATAATTAAAAAGACAAAAAAAAAAAAAGAAGACGAACGTCTGCTTTATTCTTCCCATTCTCTCTTTCAAGGTTTTATTGTTACTTTTTTGAAGGTTTTAACCCAATTTTGTGTTAGTCGAATGCATCTGGTAAAACTATTATTATCACAACTACTTCGAATGCTCATGTTTATTAGAGTAATAATAGACTAATTGCATTAATGCAATGGCTTCCAAAGATGATGGTAGGTAAAGAAGAGGCTAATTGGAAGATGCATTTCTAATCAAAAAGAGTTTAATCCAACGTTGGAGTAGAACCTCGGGAGTTTTAAATTTTACCCAAAAACCTTGCATGGGATCACATCTTGGGTTATAGCTATAGCCATGGCAACAACAACCGATGTTCCACTAATAAGATGAAAGCATTTGTGGGAACTGGCAATGATTGGAGACTATATAGGTGGAGCCCCCAATCCAATTGAATGAGAGAGTGAGTCTAGGATTAGGAAGGTAAAAAATGGAATGACATTTGTGCTCAGCCCTTCAAGCTCACCAACTCAATGATTGCATTAAGTCCACCATTCAGGAAAAATTTCTATTAAAGGTTAATTTATTCCTACGATTTCAGTGATGAAGACTGAGGACTGAGGAGCACTTGGCTGGTTCCTATATTGAATCATTGCAAAAGATAGCAAACCACAGGGCTTAGGATCCACTTGGGTCTTTCATTTGATACCGCAACAACGCACACAATACCATGAGTAGTGCAAGAATATTGAACCATAACAGACAGCATTGCATAACCATAAAGTGATGCAACACTGAAACAATTATGACAATCAAGATTTCTCTTCACATTTATTTGGGTCAACTTTTACCAGTGCAGTCTTGCAAAAGATGCAAACAGCATGTCATGAAAAGTAACAGCATGAAATTTAGATCTGTTTCAGTGGCAAAAGGGGCCAAGAGAAGGGGAAGAGGCCACGGGAAGGAAGAGAGAGATAGACATGGTATGGAATGCTTGAAATGAAATCTATAGTTTTACATGGAAAGAGGAAGATTAAGAGTTAAACTTAATGAATTAGACAGGCAAGTTTTCACTTCGCTTCCTATCTTACTTGCCAATGTCACTTGAAACACAAGGCCAAAATGGTCATGCGTATAAATTAGGCGCAGCAGAAGTGTACATATACAGCATATTACACTGTTGCATGGCAATGAACAACTCACATTTCCATTGCATGAGGACCCACTTTAAAGACATCAGCAAGGAAAAACAACCAACAGTACCAAATGATCAAATAGCATTATGCCAAATTAATTGACTGGTTACCTACCTCTCAATTTATAACTGCACAAGCCACTTCAGAGCTAATATCAATGTAAAATCCAGTGTGATAACATACATACTCGAAGGACCATATTTAAACTAGGCGGCAAAGAAAACCAACTTGAGCATACGTAGTTCACCTGAAAATCTCCAAGTCTAAAGGAGCAAAAAATGAAAACTGGTTTTACAAAGGAAATCGTACTGCTCCCTTCTTTTCATTTGAGATAAGAGCCTGCTCTCCGGCAAACTAAAGAAATACCCAACCAAGCTTTGTGATTATACAGAAGCTTTCTCTATGAGAATTCATAGCCATAGAAAAAGACAGAATCACATTTAAGTGTATTCATTGCAGCACAATATTAAGCTCAAGATAACCACTATTTACTTTTGTCTTAGGTAGGATTGAAGTCTGCGCAGTTCATTACTGTTTTACCAGAGTCAAATATTACAATAGCAGGAGAAGTAGGTCCACAAAGTTGGATAGCTCTGTTGAATAAGATGTGGATAGAAATTCAGGAATGAAATGTTTTTACAAAATTAACAAATAGAGTGAAAGAAGAGGCATATGAAAACATGCAATATGTAAGATTTATTTCTTTGAATCATGCTTTATAGCAAATTAAATGATAATGCCACAGAAATGTGCCAATGTAATGAAAAAATAACCAAAGCGATAAAGTTTGAAAGAAATTACGTAGATAAATCTGCACAAGGAATACCAAGTATTGAACAAGATGAACGGACTTAACAAGACATCCATTGCATAATAGTAATGATAGTATCTCAGAACACTCAGTTCTAGGAAACTATTTAAATATAATTACAGATTTTAATTTGAATCACGAATACAAGTTATAATATGCACAGTAAACATAGAAACTTCAGCAAGAAACCAAATAGAGATGCCATGTAATATTCTCAAGTAAGAAAATGGTAAATTAGAATTTAGTATCCAGTTTCTAAATTATTCCCCAATAATTATGTTCATTTTGTGAAGAAGTTATAGCAATGACATCAAAGACAAGTGATTCTAATCGATTCACACCATTAACCTATGGTCACCCTCACCAACATTATGAGGGCCATTTCCCAAAGCAACTCAAATTTGCCCTCTTGTCTAATTCTGTATGGTCCTGTCTTTCTTTCTTTATCAGCTAGGCAAGCACTTTTGAGATTTCAACGAGTACAGTCTTTTCCTTAATTCACCATTGCCGTAAAAATATGTCAAAGTCCACCAATCATCTTCAGCATCATCTTTTCTGTTAATATGCATTAAACCTGTCAAGGTTGTTTTGTGGGATGATTACCACTAATCATCTTCAAGAACACTCAGTAAATACAGAAGATAAACATTTGCACAGAAATAGCACAGAAATTCTTAATTAATACTAAACAAAACTCTCACCACCAAACAAAGTTCATGGGATTCATTTGTAGTCTAGTGTTTCAGAGCATAGTTACCATCCTTATCTCAACCAATTGCGACAGAGCAATTAACTGAAAACTAATATAAGCGGAACAACAGAAGCACACCTAAGCCCTTTAAAAGGGCCAAAAAGTTCAGCTTTGGTATCATTACAGGTTCCTGATGGCATTTGAAGTTGTAATTAGAAAAGAGAACCTGCTTTTCCACGATTCCCACAAAGAGGACAGCATCTAATAGCTGTAGATGCTATCATATCAGTACTAGAATAAATTCTAACAGTAGTTATGATACCAATGCTAGTATATCTATTCATCCACAACACATTGGAAGGTATAAAAAAGTACAAAGCATACACACAAATAAGCAGTTAAGTAGTCAATAAACCTCAAATACGATATCTTCTAAAGGTAACCCTTGGATATGAAAACTTAATGCTAGTATGCTACCGATTAATAAACCAAAAAAGCAAGGAAATCCCATTCCCAGGTGGAACTGAAAGGTAAAGGTAAAAATTACGTACAACAGTGAGCAATTATTGATTTTTAGTTATAAGAAAAAAATCAAAGAGACTACTAAAAGAAAAAAAAAAGAGTATTTTTGCCTGGCATACGGATAAAAATCAGGATTTTAAGCAAGGAATTCCAGTTCATCTTCTTTAAGATGGGCAAAGAACTTGACAGGTCCACGGCCTTCAATTTCCTTTTGGAACTCCACCTTGTAAGGAAGATTAGCTGAAATCCGTTTCCCTTTCCAGAGACCCACGTATTGTTTAATCACTCCTTCCAAACCGGTCAGATCCATCTCCGGCACGCGTGGCACGTGATACACTTTGAGCGGTACCTTCACCCTAACCCTCGCACCTATTTTAGCCTCTTCTTCGGCTGCAGCCGATCCCGAAACCGACGCGTTTTTCTCGTCCTTGTCAACGGTAGCGGTGGAGACGGCTTGGCAGGAGATGGTCCTCCGTGAGATTATAGTAACATTGACGGCGGTTAAAGGGGAAGGAAACGACGCTGATTTCAACGTCATAATCGTCGTTTTAGACTCCGGAGATGATTTTCCATTCGAACGAGTGATCAAATAAGAACCAGGCGTTGCCGAAGAAAGAGGCAAAGTGGCTGTACTAGTAGTCATCTTTTTTTTCTTCTGACAACAGCTGCTTGGGGTTTTCTAATCCAAATTTGTACGACCGAATCCTCGACAAATATGCGTGTCAGAAACAATTTATTTTTCTAGTGGCTGAAGGAAGGCATCGAAGCGCAGCTAACTGTTAGACGGAGGGAGCGTGGTGCGTGGAGTCTTTTATCTTTCTCTGTTTTAGTATTCAATTTAGCCGTTGGATTCCGTATCTCACCACTTTTTTTACTATGAAAAACGTTAATATTTTTCAATTACATTTTTATTTAACACAAAATTTTACCAAATTTTTAAAAAATAATCATTAATTTAAAAAATAATAAATTAATTATCATTTTTAACAAGTGCTTTCGAAGAATTTTTTTAAGATTTTCAATTATCAAATTCAATATGAAACTGTTGGGTAAAAGAACATTTTTTTGATATAATATCTTTCAAATTTTGATAATTATCTTAAGTTTTGATTAATTTAAAATCGAATTGAATTAAATTTTATAAAAAAATAAAATTTTTAAATTTTATATTTTTATTCATAAAATTTAAAATTAAAATTTTATTTTAAAAAATCAAATTTTTATCACTAAAATTAATAAATATTGATAAATAAAATAATATTTATTCTTTTACTTAATGCTATTTATGGATATTAAATTTGTAATAATTTTGACCTTAAAATAGGACTAATTCAATTAGTGTTAGACTCATTTGAAAGCATTTTCACCCAATAAAAAGTGAATTTTATGACTGAATTCCTGTGAAAAAAATTTATTAAATCTTTGTTATTTTTAAATTGACTCATACTTTTTCTTATTAATAACAAGAGTTCTTTGCTTGAGATAGTGGAAAGTGATTTTTGTCCCAAAGATGCTGGTGGGGACCAGGATTGGGACCTGGCATACTCTCCTCCAATCTTTGTGGATAACGAATCCCGAGCGAGCGTATCAAAGACAATCAAGAACTCACACGAACCAGCAAGCCATATCACCGGACAGGGAGCTGGGCTCGAGCTTTAACCCCACCACACTTTTATTCTGTAAATAAAATTCTATTATTTTATCGCAGGCATCAAAACAATGGCTGGAAGCTGAAAACTCGACCGAAATATTTACTGAGTGTGTTTGATTAAAAAAATTCATAATTTTTTTTTGAAATTTTGTCGATGAATATTTATTTTTCATATTTGATTCAAAATAATTTGATTATTAAAAAAAATCAAATTTTTAATAGTACTTAAAATCTCAAAATTAAAAACTCATATCTATATGATATTTTAAAATTTAAAAAAAAATTATCTTACTTTTAAATTTGACCTGAATTAAAAATTATCATATAATCGTTATCATTTAAAAAGCATATCTAAAATTAACATTTAAAAAAAATTTATATTACAATTAAGGAGTTTTAATGAAGAAATGGCTTAATTGATCATCAATTAAGATAATTCTGTATACAAACCCTTTAATTGATATTTTTATTAATTAAAACGTTTCAATGAAGAAACGCTTCAATGAAGAAATATCTTAATTAATGATCAATTAAGGTATTTGTATACAAAAATACCTTAATTGATTATCAATTATGACATTTCATCCTTAAAACACCTTAATTGATAAGGAATCAATTAATCAATTAAGGTGTTTTCTCACACAAATGCCTTAATTGATCCTTTATTAATTTTTTTTGCTCCTGAAAATTGTGTTAAAATATGGATGCTTTTTAGTCACGGTATGATAAAGATTGAAGTGTCTATCAACTAAGGCATTTGTATGAAAAAACACCTTAATTGGTTATATTAACATTTTGTTTTCCATTTTCGGATACTGTGTTTTGACAATATGAACATTGTAATATCTAATCGAGAAGTAAAAGAGCCAATATTTTATACATCAAATAAGGTGTTTGTATATATGGAGCACCTTATTTGATGTCTTCATCATGTTTCAATAGCCAATACATTTCAGATTTTTATTTCAATATATCTTAGCTCTTAGCATTTACTTTTCTTTGAACCAATTTCAGCTTTAACATCCATCATTTAATATTTGTCCTATTAAGTTTATCTTCGTTTTTTACACAAAATGATGTGTATACTTTATGATTGATCTTTTGATCTGATCTATTATTTGTTGCCTTCTAATGTTTTCTTCTTTTTCATATTTGTAGATGTCTTTTATATATGGATTTATGTTTCTGATATAAATGCCTTGTTTTGCTGTTTCATTGTTTTAACCCTTTATCCATAGATGTTTTGTTGGTGATTTATATTTTTCTTTGATGATGTTTGATAGCTTTTATGTATCATATGCCAAGATTTGCTTTCCATTTATGTTTTCAACTTTAACAATATTCTGTCTTCTAAACAGTTATGGCTAATTTATCACTAAGAACAAAGATGCAATTGGTTACATTGCTTATGATGCATTTGAACCAGATGGAGACTTTGTTGTATGTGTTATATTTTGTTATTGTAACTTTATTACATATGAATGTTAGAAAATAACGGAGACTATCTTATGGTGGAATATCTTATGATAGGCTATATATTAGAAAGTTATACTTAAATGCAATGGCTTTTGAAAATGATAGACAGTGTGTAGATAATACTAGGATAGATAAGAGAACTTTTGCAAAATTATGTTATTTGCTTAAAATAGAAAATGAGTTATAATCATGTAGACATATGTCAATAGAAGAACTAGTTATTAGCTTCCTTCTCATTATAGCCCATCATACAAAAAAATAAGGTTATGAAGCGTCAAGTGGCTATATTTGGAGAGATAATTAGTAGATAATTTCATTCTGTGTTGAATTCTATTTTAAGATTGCATATGCTATTGTTTAAAAAACCTGAATTGATACTAAAAAATTCAATAGATAATAGATGAAAATGGTTCAAGGGTTGTTTGGGTGCCTTAAAAAGGACATACATCAAAGTCAATATAGACGCAGTTGAGAGGACTAGATACAGGACTAGGAAAAATGAAATTGCTATCAATGTCCTTGGTATTTGCACCCCAGATATGCAATTCATATATATTTTACTAGGATAAGAATGTTCTGCAGCAAATGACAGAGTGCTAAGGGATTCTATTACACCCAAGAATGGGTTAGAGATCCCACAAGGTATTATTTTTATAATGTTCATGTTACGTTAATAATGAAACACCCTTTTTCCAAATTATTAATGTTGTTTAACAGATAATAGGTAATTCTATTTGTGTGATGTCGGACACACAAATGGGGAAAGATTATTGGCATATTATAGATGTCAATGATACCATCTTAGTGATTGAAGGGCAAGACTCCAATCGACAATCCTGTAAGAATACTTCAATATGAAACACTCTCAAGTAAGAAATTGTATCAAGAGATATTTTGGTATATTGAAAGCTAGATGGGCAATTTTAAGGGAGAAGTCATTTTATTCAATAAAGACACAGTGTAGAATAATTTTTGCTTGTTGCTTTCTCCATAATTTTATTAAGTCTAAAATGATTTTTGACTCTATTGAAAGTGATGTTACTGAAAGAAGTATTAGCTAACTAGATGAATATGAACATCAAGAGTTGATTATGCATGTTGAGCCATCTAATTCTTAGACTCAGTTTGGAGATAATCTAGCTAATGCGATGTTCACCCCTTAGTTGTAGTCCCAGGGATAAGAACATTATAGAATTATTTTGTATGCTATAATGTTTACTCTATTTATTTTATTATATATACTGTAGACACCTAATTTGGTTTAGGCCTGGATCAATTGGGCCTGGCCCAAATGGGCAAGATATACCTATATTTTTTATTTTATTTTTATTTATTATTATTATTAGCATTATTTTTTTCGTTTATTATTTATTATTATTATCATTATTTATTTTATTATTATTATTTTTATCTTTTCTTTTCTTGATTAATTAAGAGATAATAATTAAAATGAGAATAGATTTCTGTCGTAAATAAGGGCAACAGGGAATCATGGTTGGATTAAACCGTGTATTGGATAAATTCAACGAGTAAAAATCTAATCAGAAAGAAATTCGAGACTGGTTAGGGACTCTGAGATTGAATCCCTATAAATACACACAGATCAATAACACAAGGAGGACATAAAAAGAATAGAGAGGTGAAACAGAGAGCAAACAATGGTTAAAAAGGGTTCTAGGGGGTTAGAAACATTTTTAGGAATTTGGAGAAATTTTTTGAATTTTTGGATTTTTTTTATAGAAAATTTCTAGAAATTTTTTAAAATTCGACGAAATTTTTCGACGACATTCAAGTTTTTCGGTGAATTTTTGGGCTAACTTTGAAGTTTTCGACATGTTTTTCAGATTTCGACAGAAGTTTAATTGAAATCTGGGTTCTGTTTAGAGAGAAAGATGAGAAAAAGAAAAGAAGAAGAAAGACGCATCTGCTAAAAAAGGCTAAAATTTACCTTTTATAGTGCCATAAAACGATGTCATTTTGACATTAGTAAACCCTAAGATCCGCCCATTTCCATTCGGACGACCTGACCTGTTGTACTGACCTGTTTCAGCTCGCTCCACGGATCCTACTGTTGAGCCGAGCTGATTGCCAGTCGAGCCACGTTTTGAGCCGTGGTTTCTATCTTAAGCCGAGCCGATCCCAGTCGCAAGCCGAGCCGTTTCCATTTTTTTGGTATTTTTATTTATTTATTTTAATTATTTTTTTTAAATTTTGTGTTTATTTATTTTAGGAGTATTTTTTATATGATTTAATTTAATAAAATAATAAAAATAAATATTTGAGAATAAATATTAATTATCCAATGATGGACTTTATAGAAATTTCAAATGATAAATTTTTATAAAATTCTTAGGTGAGAAATTTTGTCTAAATTTGTCCCAAATTGTGGAATAATTTAGATAAAATTTCAATAACAATAATTAATATTTATTTTCAAACCAAAAAAAATTAAAAAAACATAAAAAGCATAAAAATATAAAAATTTTGGAATTAAATATAATTTACCTAATGATGAGATTCTTAGAAATTTCAAATAATAAATTTCTAAAAAATATATAGGTGAGAAATTTTCTCTAAATTTAGCCCAATTTGTGGAATAATTTAGATGAAATTTCAATACAAAAAAAATTATATTTTTTTTTCAAATGAAAATTTGGAGTGAAAATATTTGATAATTACCCATATATGAGATTCTTA